CTGCCGCGTCCGGCTAATGAAGCCGAGTCCGGCGAGGGACGTCGGGGTTAAGGACACACAGGACACCAAGGTTCTTCATCCAGGAGATTCTTTTATTCACCCCTTTACCCCTTATATATCATCCCATCCCTGAGCTTAAGCACACACAGTTCTCACAGCAGGAAGCGGTTTTGGTTGGCCTTAAGCAAAACTAGGTCAGCTTCACAGACTGATCATGCGAGACCTACCTGGGCCAGCTAATCAGTAGGAACCATCTGTCCCAGGCTCTCTATGAGGGCTGAATAAACAGGAAGCCCACAGAAATGGTTCAGTGACTCACTGGCCTCCTCAAGCGAAGCAGAGAACAGGAAACTTAACCTATTTCCTTGTTCCAGGGCCAGGGGTCTCACCATACCAGGCCACCTAGCCCTTTTTTTTTTTTTAATTCTTTTCTTTTGAGACAGCGTCCTTCTGAGTTGCTTAAGGCCTTGCTAAGTTGCTGAGGCTGGTTTTCAAATCGTGATCCTCCTGCCTCAGCCTCCCAAGCTGCTGGGATTACAGGCATGAACCCTGCACCCAGCCCACTGGTTGTTTTCAATCATGGCTACACTGACTATGGAACCCCTGAGCTTTCATCTTCACATACTTGAATTATATCATGTAGTTCTTCTTCACTTCTGGCAACTCTGATCTCTTCACTGGGTCTGTACACCACAGCTATTTTACCACTCTCTGAAATAAAGTTAACAAGAATTAATTCAGAATTTTTCTTATTCTAAAACTTATTGCACACCATGGTAGCACCCTAATGAGACATGCCTTTGATTTCTGAAAGAAAATAAGAGCATTTCTTAGAAATGTCCTCACCTATGCATCAGTCTTAACATAACTATTTGTTTAAAAATACATAATGAAGTATCAACAATGTTTGGTTAAAAGAATGCTGTGATCTTAGAGATAGGAACTAAGAAATAATGACATAGGAAATATTCGTAAACAAAAATGTACAAATGGTTCAGTAGATCCGTGGCCTAGAAGACACTTCGTATTAGAAGAAGGAGCAATTTCCTACTCCCTGAGAACCAAAATTCCACCAGAAACAATGAGCAAATTTTTGGAGAAAGTACTAGCACCTTTTATTGGCAGAAACTGGTCTACTTACCTTATAGACAATACAGTTTTCCTTCAAAGCATAAAGCTTTTGATCTAAAGAGTTTTGAGTTCATATAAGCTTAGTTCCTTAGTTCTTCAAGATTGTTACTCAAGAGTTGACCATTGGAAATTCTAGCTCATGAACCCGGAAGGGCTGCCCAGATTGGAAGGCTGAGACCAATCAGGGCTACCTCTTACAAGCAAATAAGGGTATCTGATAACTTAATTAGGATTTCTCCATTTCTAAGCTTGTAAGCCCATGAACTAGGAGAGCAGTTGTGTTTGGAAATTCTGCTAGTCATCACATTTTTTTTGAATGTGGCCTGTAACATTCACATCACAGGAGAACTCAAGTGGGAGCGTGATGTCATTCAAAACCTGCTTCTTTGAAGGCTCACATGAAAGCAGCTAATTATTATATAAGAGTCATATTTACCCAATATGTCAATGCCATAAGTAAAAACTGAACTGAATTCTTAATTCAGCAGAGTTTATTTATCTGTTTACTCAGAAAAAAATGATAACAATGATAGTGAACATATTATGTTTGCTTATCATGTAAGCATAGTTCTGAACTTTTTACATTTATAATCTCATTTATTCTTACAATATCCCCTATAAGGTAGGCAGAATTACTAGCCCTATTTTACAATAATGAGATTGCAATTTAGAGATATTAAATACCTAAAATCTGTCTGACTATAAAACCTAAATTACTTTAAAAATCTAAGATACAAGCTAGGCACGGTGGTATACACCTGTAATCCCAGCAGCTAGGGAGGCTGAGGCAGGAGGATCTCAAGTCCAAAGCCAGCCTCAGCAACTTTGTAAGGCCCTAAGCAACTCAGTGAGATCCTGTCTCTAAATAAAATACAAAAAGGATTGGGGATGTGGCTCAGTGGCCGAGTGCCCTTGGGTTCAATCCCTGGTACCCCCCCACCAAATAAAACAAAACAAAACAAAAAAACCTAAGTTAGGACTCAAACCCAGGTGTCCAAAACTTATAATCACTATTCTGTATGACAGGCAAGCAATTGAGAAGGAAGACTTGGATCAAATACTTTCTGCATGAGCTTAGGCAAGTTGTTCTACATTCATAAACTGGGGACAATAATATTTGCAGTCATTTTTCTCACAAATATCACAGGACAAATTTGAGACCATTGCTATGAAAGAATTTAGTGAATGAAAGCATTATATGGAAGGTTTTAGATATCCACATTTTCATCCAATTAACTTTCAAAATGAGTTTATTTGCTCATTGAAACTGAAGTACTTCAAAGACAAAGAAGTCTTACCTAAAACTACAGTGAACAGTTTCTGGAATGCATCTGATAAAGCCTTCTGAACAGCAAGCTTCTGGGCCTTCTTTCTTTTCATAAGGGTCTTGGCTAAGTTGCTGAGGCTGACCTCAAACTTATGATCCTCCTGTCTCAGCCACCAAAGTTGCTGGGGTTATATGTGTGCCTCAGCCTGCTCCTTATAGGTATAGTTCCTTGGTTGTCACTTAAGCCCTCTCCTCTTTTCTCTATAATTCTGAGCCCAGATTTTATTATTATATTTCTGTTTGGGGAGCTCTTGATACATAACAAACTATTCCAAACTGAGTGGCTAACGGACAACAACCATTTTATAACTTCTCATGAGGGCTTAGCTGAATGGTTCTTTTCTCTCTCTCTGTACTGGGGATTGAACCCAGAGGTACTTTACAACTGAGCTATATCCCCAGTCCTTTTTATTTTTTATTTTGAGACAGGTCTCACTAACTTTCTTAGGGCCTCTCTACAGTTGATGAACTGGCCTCAAACTTGCAATCCTCTTGCCTCAGCCTCCTGGAATTGCTGGGACCTGTAGTCTTGGCTTAGACCTGGGACTTGGCTCAGGGGATGATTCTGCTAGTCTTGCTTTAGGTCTCTCACATGGCACTGTTAGAAGCTGTCTGGAGCTAGATTGTCTAGGATGGCTGGCTCCCATGTCTCTCACCCTGGTAGGAAGAGCTGGGTTGCTGGGATGGCTGGACCTTTCTCTTTCTCCATGCCAAGGTCTCTTCTTCCAGATTTCTCATAAGGGATCTTAGAGGTCCTGAGAGCACAACAGTGGAAGCTGCCAGGTCTTCTTTAGGCTTAGTTCCGGACATAGGATGGTCTCGCTTTTGCCTGGCTTAAGAGAGTCTCTAGTCAGCTCAAAGTCAAAGAGTACCTGGAATCCTGCTTCACTGAAAGCCACTTTTTAAATAAAAAGTGATACCTTTATTTATTTATTTATTTACTTATTTTTATGTGGTGCTGAGGATCGAACCCAGCACTTCACATGTGCTAGGTTAGTGCTTTACCACTGAGCTACAACCCCAGCCCCTGAAAGCCACCTTTGGAGACCACCTACTAGTTTCTGAGTCCCAAATTGCTATGGCTCTTTTCAGTGACAGAACCAAATATCCACTGGTCTACTAAACATCTCTTCTTGGGCGTCCCACAGGCTGCTCAGGATCCTTGACCACCCCAAACCCTCTTCCTTTCAGTTCTCTCCAGCCAACTGTTAGCCTCACCACCACATAGGAGTTCGAGCCAGAAGCTTAGCCATCATCTCTGATAGCTCCCTCTCTTCAGTCCCTACATTCCATTTCTTAAATATCTCTAGAACTCTCCATCTCTACTGCTAATAACCTCTTGATCATGGCTAAGAAAACTGCAAACTGTCCATGTGTGTACATACTTGGGACACATTCCGTTTAGTATTATCTTCATTTTGTGGATGAGGACCCTAAGGATGGCAGAGATTGGAATAACTTGCCCAAGGTCTCACCTCAGCAAGAGAAAACTAAATAGTGGAAAGAACTAAGTTTCCTCCAGCTCAGCCGAAAGGCAGCTCTGCCTCTAAAACCTAGTGCCCCTTGTCAGTACAGATTACTGTCATCTCTCCTTTGGACTTCCACAGCTGCCTCACACCCAGCATTCCTTCCTCCATGTTGGCTCCATCTAATCCATTCTTCATGCAGTCAGAGGGATTTTTTTAGAGTACAAAATGGTCATGGTACTTCTCTGCTTATAGTTTTCAATGTTTTCCCTCCTGCCCTTGAGGTAAAATCTATTAAAGTCTTTCAGAAATTGGTCCCTGTCAACTTGACAGTATAGAATGGGCCAATGGTTTACATGGGGACATTTTGGAAATTTGAGTTTTTGTCTTTCTCAATTAAAAAGACATGCTACTGGAATTTGGTCAGGAATTCTAGAGTGTTGCAATTCAAGGGATGATTCCTTATAACCAAGAATTCTCTTGCGTTTCACAAGACTTTTGGATGACCTGCTGGATGTACTATGTGAAAAACGTCTTTGTAATTAGCTGATCCCAGGATCTATCTCCATTAACCGTACACTCAAGGGAGAAGGGGACAAGTTTATTTCTGGATTTCTGGATTACTCTTGTCATGAGAATGTAGTCCTTTGAATCCCACCTTTATGGAAGGAGAAACTCCTGCTAAATTCCTCTTATTGAGGTTGTTCTGGGGTGTTCCCTTTTCCCATGAGACATTCACAAAAATCTCAAATTCACCTAGTTAGGCAAGCACCTTCAGAACAAAAGCCTGCTTCAGTGTTCCACTTACATATCTCTGTGTCCCCGCCTTCACTTACTGTGTTTTGCCCTGAAAATTCCTTACTTTTCAAAGCAGTGCATCAAAGCATTTGAGATTTTTATTTTTTATTTTTTTTAGTGGGGGGGGGGGGTACCAGGGATTGAACTCAGGGAAAGTTGAGCACTGAGCCACATCCCTAGCCCTATTTTGTATTTTGTTAGAGACAGGGTCTCAAGGTCTCACTGAGTTGCTTAGCACCTGGCTAAATTGCTGAGGCTGGCTTTGAATTTGTAATCCTCCTGCCTCCGCCTCCCTAGCTGCTGGGATTGCAGGTGTGCACCACCATGCCTGGCTCAGCATTTGAGATATATTTTTTAAAATATTTATTTTTTAGGTATAGATGGACACAACACAATGCCTTTATTTTTATGTGGTGCTGAGGATGGAACCCGGGTCCCGCCCGTGCTAGCCAAGCGCTCCACTGCTGAGCCACAATCCCAGCCCAGCATTTGAGATATTTAAAAAATATTTTTAGGGGCTGAGGCTGTAGCTTGGTGGTAAAGTACTTGCCTCACATGTGTGAGGCACTGGGTTCAATCCTCAGCACCACATAAAAATAAATAAAGATACTGTGTGTTAATCTACAACTAAATAAATATTAAAAAATATTTTTAGTTACAGATGGACAAATACCTTTATTTTATTTTATTTATTTTTTAATGTGGCACTGAAAATCAAACCCAATGTCTCACACATGCTAGGCAAGCGCTCTGCCACTGAGCCACAACCCCAGCCTGAGATTTTTTTTTTTAAACATTTTTTTAGTTGTTGATAGATCTTTATTTTATTTATTTATAGTGGTGCTGAGAATCAAACTCAGTGCCTCACACATGACAGCCAAGTGCGCTACCGCTGAGCCATAGCCCCAGCCCTCTGAGATTTTTTTTTTAAATATATTTTAGTTGTCCATGGACCTTTAATTAATTAATTAATTAATTAATTAATATGTAGTGCTGAAAATCAAACCCACGGCCTCTCCCACATGCCAGGCAAGCATTTTACACTGAGCCACAACCGGAGCCCCAGCATTTAAGATTTTTTTGGTACTGTGGATTGAATTCAGAGGCGCTTAATCACTGAGCCACATCCCCAGCCCTTTTTTTATATCTTATTTAGAGACAGGGTCTCAGTGAGTTGTTTAAGGCCTTACTAAATTGCTAAGGCTGGCTTTGAACTAGTGATCCTCTTGCCTCAGCCTCCCAAGCCACTGGGATTACAGGCATGCACCACCATGCCCAGCAGCGTTTAAGATTTAAAAAAAAAGTTTTATCCAGGATTTTAGTTGTTTTTAGGTCTTTTAGGTTCTTAGCCTGAAAAGGAAAGCACAAATATGCAATATTTTTGCACATATTTAATATGACCTGTCTTTTCCAGCAATGCAACCACTATGTAAATTGTTTTGTATTGTTCTGAACTTTATCAAGAGTTGTTCACCATTTTGGAAAGTCAGACCAATGGCAATTCTGCCTAATTCAACTCTCCTCGGTCAGTCTATATTTTTCCCTATCACATTCTTAGTGATTCTAGGGCTGGGGGTAGAGTTTCCTATTTTCCTCTAACTTCCAGTGTAGAATAGTGCCCAAGTATTTGCATATTGAAATGCCTTCTTCTTGTCTTTATTTTTCTTTAATAGCCAGAAAATTATATTGATCTGCTTTTTAAATTGTGTATCCAGGTAATTTATATTGCTTGTTAATTTCACTTCAGGGTAGTAGAGTTAAATATTTGTTTTTAAAAAGATGCATTGAAGCCAGGTGTAGCAGTGTACCTGTAGTCCCAGCTACTTCCATGAGTTTGAGACCAGCCTGAACAACATAGTGAGACTCTGTCAAAAAAAAAAAAAAAAAAAAGATAAAAAGAGGACACTAGGAGGGGACAGATTTACTGATGTGATCATTAGAGTTCAAAATCTGGAGAATTTCTGCTATTTTGAAGGCATGTGACTTGGAGCACAATGGTTAACTTTTTGGCATTGGGGTGTAGGTCAGTGGTAATGCTTGTGCTCAGCATGTATAAGACCCTGGGTTCAATCCCCCCCCATGCCCCTTCATCCCTCACCCCCACACACCTCAGAAAAGATGGTTAACATCCTCAGTTGTTCACACCTGTAATCCCAGCGGCTCAGGAGGCTGAAGCAGGAGGATTGCGAGTCAAAGCCAGCCTCAGCAACTTAGCAAGGCACTAAGCAACTCAGTGAGACCCTGTCTCTAAATAAAATACAAAATAAGGCTGGGTGGGTGGCTCAGTGGCTGAGTGCATCTGAGTTTAATCCCTGTACCAAAAAAAAAAGAAAGAAAGAAAGAAAAAAAAATAAAGAAGAAAAGGTGGTTAACATTGTTGAATCTTGGTTTCCTTGGTTTCTTCATCTGCAAAATGGGGGTGGTATTATGTA